ATAACACATGCGTTGAAAAAGCAGTGAATGTTTATAAACTTTGCAAGTCTGGCTGACAGTTAGCTATGTGAAATGGAGTCTGGTTGCGCTCGGGTCCAGGGAACACCTCACTGCCTCCTCAAAGAGCCACTCTGTGTGTGTGTGTGTGTGTGTGTATGTGTGTGTATTTGAGGATATATGCCCTTATAAGGTCGCACAGCTGAACCAGATTTACAACGGAGAGGGGAAAAAGTGAAAAAGTGAGGGAGCGCGTCAGAGCGAGAGGAACACGATGAAGAAAATAGACAAAACAAATGAAAATATGTGAGAAAATGAACAAGATGCACGTAAAAGATGTAGGTAACAGTTGCCATTTTACTAAAAGATTATTGAAATGACATGTAAACAGCAAAATAATTTCAATTTTTTCTGAACATAGTCCTGATTACTTAAATACAATTGTGCAGTTTGCATTTCCTTAATTTTAAAGGTCTATATTTCATACATTAATCAGTTTTTAGAAAGCTTGTAATCGCAGACACTGCCCTTTAAGGGCCACATATTAGTCAATAACTACGTGGTAATTGGTGTACTAGTTAGTAGTTTTAGTGTGTAAGTATTTTGAAACACTTTTTACTGCTCATTACAATTACAGTGTATGTACAAAAGCATCTATTGCTAACAATGCTAACAAACAGTCATAACAGGGATAAAAATAGTATTACAATGATACCTGTAATACTTGACAAAAAAGTAAAAGCACTTTCCATGGTTGAGCATTTACAATATCTTTACAAACAAGATATGACAATATGTAAGGTTGATTTTCCCCAAATTGTGTAATTTAAATTGACTTCAAACTTTTTTTTTTTTTTTTTTTTACCATAAACCTATAAGAAAGATGTGTTATCAAAATGTGATTAAAAGTGTTTTAACTTCACATACTCCTTCGCAGCCAGGGTAAGTAAAGTATTCACTCCATAATTCTGCTCGGCACAAGAAGCGCTCAGCGCTGTGAAAATAATAAAAATGGATTCTGCAGCCAAGTCTAAAGCTAGAATATTGCTGTCACTCCAAATAAGTGGCAGCAACACCAACGTGACGTGTACAGGCTGTGTGTGAATAATAACGAGTCTGATATTGATGCTTGCAACAGAATGTTTCTATCTGGATACTCAAAGATTTCTCAGCAAAAATATAAAAAGAAAAAGTCCACACAGCAGAACAGGAATAGAAGCTCATCCGGGAAACTGTGTTTAGGGAAATGACAGTTTCCGTTTTTTGTGTCCAAAGTAAATGATCTAAGACACCATGTACACCCACCTACTGATATATGCACTAAGTATCAGTTTATATTGTGGTGCAATGGTGGGCGATAGTGACAAATTTGGAGGGATTTTCCCATTGGCAAGGGTTATTTTTACACGTATCCAATGTAAGTAATCCAACTTCTGTCTGTTTGTTCTCACAGGTGCAGGTTTCAAGCAAAGAAAATTATGCAAAAAGGGCAAACTAATTATGTGGGGACAAACTAATTATAAGGTAAAGACAGAAAGAAATCAGAAAATGTTCACGACTGAAAGAGTTAACTGTAAATTCACTGTAGTTTGTCTTTCAAACACAACACTTATTCTAAAGATTTAGTGACATATGTGACCAGGTGTTACCAGGTGTTGCATGTAAAATTGCACCAAAACTCAGCTCTTAATACTGGGTTATCTGATTATTCTAGTTATCTGATTTTACTGGCCATGTAAATTTACCCACTGTTATGGCGATCCCTCAGAAATGTTCTTAACCTCACCTGTAAACGTCAAGGAAGAAGCATTTTACATTTTAATCAGCTCCTTTAGCAGCATTTATATATATATTTTTTTTACACTTGATATTTTAATCCATCTCCAAAGCAGCATTTAGCGATCCTATCATTTTTAATACCTCTACTGTGGAGCGTTTAATGTCAAACAGCCAATGACATCAACACATAGTATTTCATAAGGTGCAAGCAAAGCATAATATCTAGATAACTGAGATCAAATAGACTGGCAGCGCAATACCTTGATGTCAAAGTTGCAGTCAAAGCGTTTGATGAGGACAATGAAGGCCCCTGTGAGGTTGTCTCTGGGAGGAGGCTCGATGGGTTCACAGGCATTCTCTGGACGAGCACCAATCAAGAAGCCCTGAGGGAAGAGCAAACAATATCAACATTTATCAATCTTTCTATTCGTCAAAACATTCAATGGGACTTTTGACATTACTAACCAGCCTCTAGGTTACACACCCAGATTTTAAGTCCCTTATATAAATGATTATTTATCATTATTATTATTTGTAATTTTGCCAGTTCCCAAAGCTAATAACAAAACCACATAATTGTATTTGCTCACGACTCTCTACAACTGCTTGTCAAAGGTCCTATATTACGTAAAATGGATTCTTGTGAGCTTTAAGCCATGTAAAACTTTTTACCTTTTATTGAGTAGTGATTGTCAAATTCAGGTCTGAAGTCATCCAAATGATTCTAACCAAGGTGTATGGAGTTTAAAAACATAGTGGAGCACTTCTGTGTTACCACAAGACATTACTAGGTGGAACAGAGTGTTTTGTGTTTGTGAGAAGAACTCAGCCTAAATATTCAGGGTTTGTGTGAATGAAAAAACAACACAAATCTAGGTATGTTTATGATGAGGAAACAACATTATAAACATAGATCAGAAAATAGTGTAATATGGGCTGTTTAATCAACATTTTTTTCACTCACACCATAAAGTGAATGAATACCATATATTCGCATAGGCCTTCTGGTTATTTCAAACAGACAGGAGAGACAGGAACTCAAAACTTCAAAAGGGGATTCTAACAGAAGAATCAAATGACAGGACAGAAAAGGTGAGGGAACTGAAAAGGATAAAAATAGCGAGGTGATGAGGCAGGCAGATGTTTGAGAAGTGCAAAATATGAAACTATTGTAAAAAAAATAATACAGAGGAGTTGACTCTGATAAGCCTAATGTTTCTTAATCACCATTTAATGAGCTGTAACTAACACTATTTGATTTGTCAGGGGCAGGCGCGAGACAGGAAGTGTGGACTGCTATGGGACACAACTCTCTCTCCTTTCCTCTCTTTCTCTCTCTCTGCCTCTCTTTCTCTCTGTAAAAAAGCCAGGCCAGATGAATTCCCTGTTGGTATATAAGAGTCAGCACTTTCTATCTTGTTGTCATCATCACTGCTGCATTTTCAGTGAGTGGGCTTTGCCTCTACTGACTACTACAATGACAGACTACAACTACGGGTTAATATAATAATAAAGTTACTGTTTTAAAGTTCAGATAGTTTATTTAATACAATTCAGGCAACTCTGGGAAACATCTGGGGCTGTCTACTTTAGTGATCCACGGTTAACATCAGGGGCAACTGCCTTATGCTGCAAAAACCCAGTGACAAGGGTGCCCTCTGTTGATCATAAGGAAAAAGTCACTGAAATGGATAAGAAAAAAACACTTGGAAGTAGTGCAGAAGGAAAGCAGAGAAAAACAGGAAATGGGAGCGGAAGGAGTTGGAATCCCGGTAAAAAAAGCCCAGAGAAAGACCACAGACAACGTTAACTACAACGATATATCTGTACACAGCCCTATAGAATCAGTGTTGACAGTTTTATGCTTGGCCTTAAACGTTACTGTATCACTAAAGAACAATCTGTTCCCTACATGTTCTCCACATTTTTAATTTTTTAAAATTTTTTATAAATATTTCCAGGTGCTTTTAGTAAAGTCAACACATAGTCTACAGATCTCTTCTAGTCTCTCTCACTTAGTATTTTTCTTCAATTTCTTTCTGCTATCTTGCCCTAACTTATTCCATTCTTGTTGGTACATTTGATAATACTAGAAACTAACACATTTCACAAATCATGCGATATTATGAGGAAGTAGCTTTGCTTTTGGGGTTGACTGTGACCTGAATTGAGAAAGCTGCAGCAGGTGTTCGAGCGGGGAAATAACAAAAGAGGAAATCACATGGGTCCAAAGCTTAGTGTGCCACTACTTGCATACAGTTGAGTAAATGAGTCATAGTTCAGCAAGTCATAGTTCTCTTGTCATTTCACAATAATGGATTTTATATATATATATATATATATTTTAATTTTATTATTACACACAAACTTTTTACTGTAATTTCTGATGAAAATAGAGGTCTGTCTCAACTTTTTTCACAGGTGTGGCCGTGGGGGGCACTTAGTTATGGAAGGACAGCACCAGTCTCTAAAGCTTTATACTAATAATAATGCTCTGTAAAGTGTCTTTGTGACATGTCTGTGAAAAGTGTTATATAAATAAAGACTTACTTACTTACTTACTAATAATTTAACACATTATTGGAATAGTGGCAAACTTACATCCATCAGGATGTTTCATTAATTGCCATTTCACAATTTATTATAGTTTTGTACTATAGGCCAAATTGAAATTAACTGGTTATTGGTCCCTGATTCTCAAACACTGCCACAGCCCCCTGGGTATGGTGGTCCCTCCAGTGCCCCCTTCAAGACACGCCCCTGGACGATTATTGTGAATGTGTGAATTTTGCTTTGGCGCATGACTTAGTAGATATAATTTTATAAACTGTCCACAACCAGTGCCCTTTGCCCCAACTGTAATCTGAATGAGGACTTCAGAATCAAATCAAACAAATTTCAAATAAATAAAACATACAGGAGTACAGAAAGTTCTCAAACATCTTAGTTAAATGAACCTGTCTTAGTTAAATACTTGCTTAAGTGACCTAGTTATATAAAATGTAGAGACCATAACTTCTTGGGTTCTTTTTAACGACAATACAGTAAAGTGTATTTACCTTGTTGACATGTTTCAGCTGCTAGCTGCAAGCCATCTTCAGAATATGGCTTGCAGCTAGCAGCCGAATCATGTCAACAAGGTAAATACACATTACTGCATTGTCTTTGAAGTTTTAAAGTACATAAGAAGACAAAATGAACATCTTTGGCTTAATGTAGAGACCATGCGTATTGACAGTTTGGGTAATTGCTCTTAAAATACATACTTAACATATGTGAAAACTCTCAATAGATTTGGGAATAAAACATGTGAGAAATAATTATTTCCGCTCTCTGTCCTGCTCACACATTTTAAAAAATCAATAGCAGAATCATACAAAATAAACCAACAGAGACAGAACCATGTCATCTCATACAGTAATTATGGACTGGCCAGTAGTTGTGGAAGTCACCCTTATATATAAGTACATAGAGGCAACCACAACATTTTGTCATTGTGTAAGTATAACCAGCAAAATGTAACTTGCTACTATGAATTATTACTAAATAGTTGTGCAAGTCTTAACAACAATAACGGTTCTGAAGAGACTCCTAGAGGGATAAACAGCTTGTGCTGCCTTGTGATGCCAGCTTTTTCTAAAAGTGGACTACTATAACGCAGTTTAGGGCTGAGTGCATTAATGGCATCAGAAATAAATACAGAAGGGTGCGTTGATATCGCAAATAATTGTATAGTGCAGTAGGGTCCAAACAGGATACGAGAAAATCACATTTACTGCACTGCACTGCTTGACAAAAGAAACAGCGATAATGAAAAATAAGAAACACATTGTGACACAAACAAGAAAAATTAAATGTTGTTTCTACAACAAATACATATCTGGAGTTATGTTTAGTTCCATTCATATTTAAGTAGTCCAGGATATTTAGGCTGCAGCAGTATCCTTCTCAAGAGCTGAAAATGCACTGTTCTACTGCTTTACATCATTCATAACAGAGTTTCAAACAGAGCCTCATGTAGCTGTTCTAATAGTCAGGTGTCACAACAAGCATGGCTTTAAAGCTCAGCCATGAGTCAAAGGTTTAAAAACTGCAACAGTCTAATAGGCCCTGATGAGACTTGGCCAATTCCCCATAGGATTATAATGGACTATCAACGAAGATCTGCAGTCTGCACAGGGCCTACAACTCTAATTTAGTCCCACTGTCCCACTGTCCTGTTTTTGAGACATGATTTGGCCTTTAGAATCATCTCTATAGGTTCAGATCTAATACAGCATACCTCGAGACTAATATAATATGAGTACAATGGAAGACATGTTTTTAATATTTATTAAATTAAGGCAAGATGATGCAATAAAAATATAGTTGTTTTTAACTGGCTTGGAATAAGAAGTAATAGCTTTCTGTTTAAAAATTAGACAATACACATTTATCAGGCCTGAAGAAATATTTCATGAGTTGGATGGTTGTGTTAGCTCAAAGGCTTTAAGCAAAGACAGTGTTCTTGGTCACAATGAGCAGCTCAGAGAGAAGACATGAATCATTCTCACTGTTTAGATCAACAAGTGTGCAGCAAGAGGGAGGAGAGCTTTGCTGCCCCATCAAAACAACACGGGTTATGTAATTATGAACAAAGCTATGGCTGAAAGTGGTTTAAAGAAGACTTGTCATACTTTTCCAGCTATTACTTTTTAACCTATAATATAAGATAGATCATTATTTTACATTTTGTTTACTGTATAACAATACTGATCTAAAATAGCTTTGGAATAGAAAATGTTCCACTGAATATTTGTAGCGCCACCTCTTCATAGTGGCATTTCACCATAGCAAGCAGCGTATTTTCATTTGCATATTTTTACCAATGACAAAGAACGTGACATTTTTGAACCCTTCCTGCATGACCTGGAGTCTGAAACCTTTGAGTATTTACAACTAAGAACAGATCTGTGAGCAGAGATAGTGGGTAGGTGAAAACAGATACATAGGACAATGCTGGACTACTGAAACAAAATGCATCTTTGAGCAAGTTAATGATGAGTAATCATTGCTACAACATTGTTAAAAGCTCACAAAAGTCCATTTTGCATAATTTGTCCCTTTTTAACTGTAACGAGGAAATCGTGTCATAAAATAATATTATATCTGAAATAAGCTGTGAAGCTGTTTAAATATTTGTTATTTATTGATATGTTGAGCGTAATAAGAATTTATAACATCCACCCAATGGAAAGAGCAGTACTCACCTTAAGCCCATCACTTGGAAGCCTGTACCCAAACCTTGCAGGAAGATCATCAAAAATCTCTGTTTTGTTATCAAAGGAATACTGAAACACAAGTGATAAAGCAAGTATTTAGTTCATAAAATTATCTTGTATATGACTATTTTTTCAAACCCCAAAATGAACAATTGACCTTTTCATTAAAATTTGTTTTTTAGAAAAACTTACAGCGGCAATGTCAGCCTCCACTGGCAGCAGGTTGAGGAAAGCAAAGAGTTGAACTGTGAAGATTGTATAGATCTGTGTGGCAGACAACATGAGCATGCCCAGGGACAGCAGCATCTTGGCACCTATCAGCTGACGGTTGACCTTCTGCTAATTGCAAGCCCTCCCGACACAACCTGTTGTCTTTACACCTACAAAACACAAATTAGAGACATACATACAGACTAATGGTTGCATATGGTATAAGCCACAATACTTAACTTTAGCCAAAACAGTAATTATGTCGTTTTGAAAGGACAGTGTTCCATCAAACTCAGCCACAGTAGTAGGGCTGGATGACGTAGCAAAAAACATAATTACTTTCCTATATTGCCCAATCAAAAATTCTAATTCAGTACTTCTTTTGTAATTCAAAAAGAAAAAGTCTGAGTTATTCTCCAAAGTACATGCTTTTAATGACAAAGGATTTGCATTAGGCTCCACAATTAGAAAGACTTAAAATTAACACTGACAATATGAAACAATTACATTTCACTTAAAGTCTGATTAATTGTGCAGCACCCCAACACAAGCTTATTCTGCTATTTGCCAAAAACAGAGATTGTTTTAAACTTGACATTCAACCACCCTACACAAACATCTTGGTTATAGGATAATGTCTCATATAGACTGGGGGAACCTGTATAGAGGATCAGAAACTAGAGCATGTGATCCAGTTCTCAGAAGCAGGCATTAACCCAGTACAATGTTTAGTTAAGATGATAGTAAAGAAAATTACTAGCTAATAACAATTACATATATAATTTGTTTATACAACTATTATACTATAAAATATTATAGCCCAAACATGAATGTCTAATGTCTATGCATTTGTTATGTATTTTTGTTAATTCAAACATTAAGGCAGTAATGAGCCTCATAAATGAGAAGATTGTTACAAATAACAGTTTGTAATCTAATAGATTTTTAAGTTGTGGTCTTAAATCTAAGCGCATGCTATAGAGGAAGATGTTGTATTATTTAGTAACTTGGCTACATTAAAACTTTACGCGATATTTATCACATACTGAAGCTTCTTCTCTGAACACATCATCCAATAAATGTTTCCATTGCTATTTGCTGCTATTTTGATAAACTGTAATTATTAGTGCATAATTACATAGATTTATTTAAATTGCGAGTAACGATTGAAAATTATAAAGATGAATCACAGTTCAATAGAAACAAGATCCTTTTAAAATTTGGACACAATCAACTCCACTGTTTTCTAAGAGTTTAATCGCAGTCTATTACGCTGAACAGCTCGGTGACTTTACAATAATAATATCATCCAGTGATTTAGGTATGATTAATGGTTATTACAGCTAGCACATGTAAGAGGCACACACACACAGACCTCCTCCGTGGTGAAGTACGCGGGCGCTCAAAACGGTGAACAGCTGGCCAAGAAAACAGAGCGTCCAGTACCCGATTTAGCCTGGCGCTAGCAGAAGAAGCTAACTAGCTGCAGAGGGTGTTTACCTGTATTTCAGCCTGGAAATGAGTTGTAGCCAGGAATTTGACGATTGACAATATCATCGCTACGTTACTAATTATCGTCCAGATATATGTAAGTATAGCAGCAAACACTTGACATTACTACCATTTCGTTTCACGTAAATTCAGAAAGCTTGAACATTAGCGCTACAGTATAATCTCGGTTAGCTGCTTTGGTTTGCGGTAGCTTCATGTGAGAGGCATACATCCGCCATGCGCCTGTCCCTCTGGAGCCTCTGATTGGTCAACTTACACGTCAATCAATGCTTTCCGGAAACGACTTCTTTAGACGTAAATATTTTGTCCACGTGACAATAAAAGCAACGAGCTCAAGAAATGTATAAAATGTGCGTCTAAACTTGTACACACTTACTTAGAGGTGCACGTCGGGTTGTATATGGAGTTATTTTCAGGCCAATATTAAGAGATAGAGAAATAAATAAAGATAGATATAGACAGAGAGATAGAGAGGGAGAAAGAGAGATAGAGAGAGCGAGGGAGAAGGTGGGGTGGGGGGTGTATTCATGGGTATTCATCGGTATTTATGGGTATTCATAATTATTTATGTAAGTTTGTCCCTCCTCATCAATACCACGTTAAAAAAAGAGATAATAAGGTTAAGCAGCCACTAGATGCTTACCAGAGGAACTACACAAAATCAGACACTTTAAACTGCCCTGCTGAACAAAAAAAGAGCTTGTACTTCAAGGTTCAGTGAGGTTACAGATGAGGAAGCCCCAAGGTACATAGAGGAACCTGTCTACTCCACAGACACACTGGAGTACTCTGTACATGCATGTAATTGCAGCATTGGTCATCACATTGTCTGGATCACCTTTAAAAATTGCCATTGAACATGGCCTATGTACATTAGGCAAACTTGCCCAACAAATTGCTGTCAAATATTTTATTGCAATTGAAGATAAAACAGTGGTAAAAGTATGCCAAATCAGTAGGCAGAGGGACTTTGTTGTTTTCTAAATCAAGAGAGCTGAAAGGTATTACAGAGTAGTTATCAAGTCTAAAGTTATTGAGCATATCAGCAACTTCGCTCCCTTTTTTCAAGAGGAAAATGCAGAAACTTGAGTGGGATAAGGCGGTTAAACTTAAACATGATGAGTTGGACAGAGAGATAAAAACACAAAACATTCAAAATGAAACTTCCAACAATCCATTAGAGGTAGGCTAAAAGTTTAGACAGGGTTTACTGCAGAGGATGACACTTATGGTCCAGTCAGTTTAGCAAGGACACTCCAGAGGACAGCCCAGGATGGAGGTGGACTTCTTGTTGACCTTTCCCACTTCTTTCTCACACTCTCCGTGATACTGCTCACAGCACATGATGGCTGATGCTACCACAGAGTCATAGTAGGTCCTCACGAGGATGTAAGGGCAAGGGCAGTATTGGCATATATCAGTCCACCACCATCTACTTTCTACTTGGTTTACCCGTGTTGATGAGCATGTGCTTATGCTGACACTAATCTACAAAGGCTGATGTTGACAGAGTTGTCTTTGTAGTGTCTGAAGTCTGCAGTGTAGAAAGTGAAAATGGAAGGCGAGATGATGGACCCCTGAGGAGCCTCCACACGGCAGGTCAGAGCTCACAGAGTCCAGGGCTCTCACAAAATGGGGCCGGTTTGTGAGATAGCTACAGTCCACACCAGTGCTGAAGGTGCTGGACTAATGAAAAAACAATGGGTCCAGTCCAGCATGGACAGAAACTTGGGGTCAGTGCTCTCCAGTGTCTCTATCAGATGGGACATGAGACTCTGAAGCTGCTGAGGTCTTTGGCATGCATGGTCTTGAGCACTGGTGCCATGCAAGAGGTCTTCTAGGATAGTTTTTCCGAAAGACTGGGTCGTGATGCTCAGGTGGGTCATAAGAGATTTTTTTTGGGTCACTTTGTCACAATCTGCATGTAGATCTGGATACAGGGCTAAGTTTAATGTCCAAATAGGCTACTTATGGATACCTTTTATTGCTGGTTCGGTTCAGAGAGACACAATCACTCTGGCAACAACATATCCTCATTAATGTTCAGTAATGGTCAAATCCACCTTTATTTTGTGATTTACGAATAATATCTATTGACTTGGGTTGCAAAGGTTTGTGACTTTTAAAATATGGGTCCCCAGAAAGAAAAATTGGGAAACACTGTTCTAGGAGATAACTCCACACAGTTCATCTGCACTGAACTTAAAAAGCCTGGAGCTGGACCAGCTGCCTCTCTAGTCCTAATCCTAAAAGTTATTAAATGCAAACTAAAAGTTGAAGGTCATGATTTGGGAAAAGCAAAACAAATCCAGGCAAATAAATAACCAGAAAAGTTCTAGTGCAAGTGCACCACCAATAGTGTAGTTCCAGTAAATAGAGCGTGATTAAATTCCCTCTCGCGAGAAGTCTGATGTCTCCTGGTGGCTGACACTGGCAGTGCTCTGTTTGGGCTCACACGCACACTATGGGAATGATACAGCTGAACCGCTGGAGCACGTAAACGCAGGCTTTCTCTTCTGACGATTTTGTCAATGTCCTAGTTATGAGGATTTACCTTTTACCGTAAGCTCGTTTTTGTAACTGAGGGGCAGTAAATATACACAGAGCAGGGAAGGCGGTCCGCTTGACAACAAGGTTCAGCGTGTGGGAATGGCAGCTCCACGGCCGATAAAAGGTATCCTAAAAAACAAAAACACTGGGACCAGCGCCCAGACGCTATCCACTGACGCTCCAGGAGACGTCCCTGAACACGTACCCGGACTCACAGAGGATGATCAGCAGTAAGTGTGCGGTGAACCTTTGGTGAAGTTAGAGGCAGGTGATGGCTAGCTAAGCACTTGTTAGCCTGTGAAGTATCATCCATTTAGCTTCATGGACATAGCACTTTCAGCTAGGCTAACGTAGCCTCTCTCAGGAACTTTCTAGCTCACACCCTGTTAAGATCCTGTCATAGATTTCCATAATTGGCCATGTTACAATACCACAAACTTCTACAGATCTCTGTTACTGCTTTATTGATTACTAGTAGGCACACGTGTGTGTAGTTATTGTTAGCTGTCTGGTTACCATCTGAAGTGGTTAAATGCGTGAATTGAACCAGCATTGTACAGACCCTAATAGTATGTAGGCTATAGCCTACCCTGCACAATAAACTAGTTGATGCATCTTCAACAACTTTTTATGTGTTACGTAATTATCAAACTAAGAAAAGAAGTAGGGGTTAAAGATGGTTACCTGTTACGACAAAAGTAACAAAAATGTAGTTATGGAAACACTGTGCAGCTAGGAACTAAATCCTAACCGTAATGATTATGAAGCATGCTACCATTTTTTTGTTCAGTTGATATAAAGTTAGTTTTATGTTTTCTATGCACTTGTCGTATCGTAATCTTCAGGACCGTTGCTAGCCATTTGGGTGCCCTAATCACAAATGCTCTGTGGTACCTTTCGCGCTGTCCGTGTTTGGAACAACGGCACTGGTACTCTTGACCCGAGTGTGAAGCCAGCCATAATGTTTTATAGTACGTAATTTAAGCAGTTTAGTGCCTGCTTTTTTGTTGGCATGTCCTATGGGCACTTCTTTGCAATGACATCTATTGATGCAATTGATGCTCTTAATTTTTTTTCCTGAAGTGAAGTGTCCTCAAGGACACAACAACAATATGGTGTAAAACTGCCAACCTTCAAGATGATGGGTGAATGCTTAACCCATGAGCCACTGCTGCACCAAATAATAGCTCATGTGTAATTCATGGATGCTGCCATGAAACCATATCTCTCATTCATTGTAAAGTATGCACTTTGATTATGGTTTGGGTTGGTCTTCTCACTTCTGGTAGACCACTTTATCTGATATCATGACTTCACTCCAGTGACGATTCACTCTGTTTAATGACTTCTCTGGATGTGTCTATTGCCAGCTGTTGGCCTCTTTAGAGACATTTGTCACATAACAGATCCACTTTCTATATTTAGTGTGTGTCCGATGTCCGAAGAGGTTGCTGCCCAAAGACAGTCAGGTGAATTAGCATACAGCAAAGTATTCCAATTTTTATTTGTGGTTTAAGATGGTGTGCTGAAATTAAATGATAAGTAAGATAACGTGTTATGCAACCAGATTCATTAATATAGTGTGTGTCTGAAACAAAATCTATAATGTATGAAAGGAGAGTTACTTTTGCTTTCAGGGTAGCTTGTATAGAACAGTTGCAACTGTAGTGAAGTTTTTCTTAATTTTGTTTCCAGTTTTACTGAATCCAGGTCATACGCAGGTCGAATTTATACATTGACCTGCGACCAAATCAGACACAATCAGCTGTGTCTGATTTAGCCTGAAAAGTGCTGGTCTCTTACCCTCCCTTTTCTGAGGTGTCTCCAATCACCTTTGATAGCTTCAATTGGCAATATTTAACAATAGCCATCAGACTAATTTTTTTGTTTTGTTTTTTTACAGAAAAAAATCTACAAAATGGGATGAGATGAACATACTAGCCACATATCATCCAGCAGACAAAGACTATGGCCTTATGAAAATCGATGAACCAAGCACTCCCTACAACAGGTATATACAATAATTGTGTAACCTTTTATTTACTATATGTATATACAACCATTGCCATGTGGCACTGCTGAGCTCTGACTGTTTGTGTCACTGGATGTCTCAGCAAGTTTGTTATTCAATAGGATATAGTGCTGCATGGAAGGTCACTCTTAACACATAATTTCTTTGGCTTTATGGCGTTTCTCTGCTTTGTTATGCCCTCACCATTTTGTCCTTGCCCTGTGACTTATGACATTCAAATATTACATAATTAAAATGTCAAATGTATCATTTTTTCTTTAAGAATGGTTGGGGATGATGATGATGAAGGAGTGCTGAGTGACTCTGACGGCCAAAGCGCCCTCACAGCAGATGACCTTGCATCAAAGTAAGCTACATTTTCCAGAGTGAGGCGATTATGATAAAATGTTTTTATTCTCAAAATATGGTGAACTGATTTATATTGGGTAAAAGCTGGTGTCTCTGCTAGATGCAACATTAATAACTTATGACTAATGTGATGTTAAATACTGGACACCATGCTTTAGTCTGCAGAATTAGTTTGTCCATTTGTCCAGGCAAAAAGTTTTTATACACTTTTAAGTCATATTGTATTATAACTTGCCGTATAATGCACTGCTGCCTTCAACAATGGTTAGCAGCATAATGTGATGATGGAACATGCTTGTTTGAATAGGCTGAAAGGAAACATGGATTCTGTCTGACCTTTGTTGCTATTGTTATAGAGGGCTTGAGCTAGATCCCTACGTAACATTTCTCAGTACACCATTAATACTTCTTTTAATCTGAATTAATTTTAGATTGATTGCTGCAGAAGGTTCTGAACCCAGGTTTATGAAAGAGGAGGAAGAGGAGGAGGAGAGCAGTGAAGAAGAGGAAGAAGAATTGACCCCTGAAGAACAAGGTAAACTTTGTGACTGATACTTTTCAGTGCAGCTCAACAATAACTGTAAGTTTATTAGTTTATTGTTACATTTATTACATTGGCTATTCATTTTTTCATAACTCATGATGCTTATCTGTGTAACTGATTTACTCACTATCAAATCTAAGGATGACACCATTATAATTTTTAATAATTATAATTTTCTTCTATTTGCAGCCAAAAAGAAACAGTTTCAGATGATGAGGAAGATGCACTACAATGAGGGACTTAATATCAAACTGGCCCGTCAACTCATCGCCAGTGAACTTGAAGATGATGATGATGAAGATGATGAAGATGAGGAGATGAGAGATGATACAGAGGAGACTCGCGAGGATGCAGAGGAGACTGAGGAGATCAGTGTGGACCCTCCTCAAGAAGGTAAATAGTGCTGGTTGTGGCCTGTCTGAATAAAGACAACGATTATTCATCTCACATTTCCAATAAGCACAGAATTACCACACACTCTTTTTTTAAGAAAGATTTGTGGTACACAAAAGACTACTAAACATGATAAAATGGTTCTAAAGAAGCTACAAGAGTATATATTTATTTATTTCTATCATACATTTACTATACAGTGCGAGCTGGAATTCACGAGCCTGTTACAGTCATTGTAGCAAATCTGGCTTTAATTTGATCTAAATATCCTCCAATGTGTCCCCAGCCTAAATGAATGGTTGTAAGATTCATCAGTTTCACATTCCTAAATGTGTGTTTTTTGGGTTTTTTTTGTCTTTTATTTAGCTGAATCTCTGGACTCATAAATGAGGCTTTAGACCGTTTGCCCAGTGGTTCAACTCTAAATCCTGTCGAGATGGACAATGCTGCTACTTATATCACCTATCAACAGAAAACAAAATTTGTGCAATGCAACGTCCTAAATCACTGATTTCACATTTCCCGAAACAATAAACATTAAGGTGAACATGGTCTTTTACTCCTCCAGCCAAGACTCATGCCTTTATCCTTTACAGGATGAATGCACTTACCTAAAGGACAGAGCAACATTTTAAAGCTCTGAGACTTCCATGTGTGAACAGTGTGCAAGAGTCAGTTCTTTAAAAACCTACTCTGAAATCCTGGGAAACTCCACTGCCTCATTACGGCCTTTTCTGAGAAAAAAAAAGTACACTGGCTTTCTGTATAGAGATTGATAGAGACATTGAGTTTGATTTTGACCCTTGTTTTTCCACCTTCTCCACTGTACCGTTTGACCTTAATTTAGTCTGTCCTGTGCCATCAATTTATTTTGTCTCAATCTATTGTTAACAGTACAAGTATGTTTTTATTTTTAACTAATCTAAAATAACAGTTATGGATTATAAATGCCCCAATTTATAATAACATACATACCTCAATTTCTGACAAACCTCATTTGTATTTCTAGTCTGTAATAAGAACAGAGTTGACCCCATTACTATTAAAATTGATAAACCATGTGCTACTGATTTAGAGGGCTTTGTTGAAACACAGTTTTACAGGCACATAAAACACACCAGTGCTTTGAAATAATTACTTTGTCAAATCGCCAATATTTTTTCCTCATTGTTCTTTTTATGTTTAATTTTTGATTCTTGTCTTGCATGACACAGCTTAAAAATGTTGCATTTTAGCTACTGAGAAGAAGGAAAAGCATGACATTGTTTGCAAACTGAACTGCTGACTAAAGGTCATGAGGTCAGGTTAATATGAAAATGTGCAGTTATTGACATGTCTTAATTTAAAAATGAGTGCTTACGTTCAGGTTTACTGTTATATAATTATTTACATGCTCACTGTTTTGTTTGAATAATGACATGTATTTTCTTTTTTCCCCCATTTACGCTCTGATTGGGTGTGAGTCTCGTTTTAGGGACAAAAAAACGACAGCAGAGGTTTTATATATAGGTTCTCTACTACTCCATTATTATAAAAAACAAAACAAAATACAAAACAAACTAAGCCCAAACAATTAACTTGACTGAAGGCAGGCAGAATATACAGTCTTTTCCAATGGCCAAATGTTGTTTATTTGAATCCATTCCAGGGGTGATTAAAAATACCATGTACTGTATTGAGAAATGTGAATTCTGAGTTGATGCTTACAAGTTTTTATCCCATAATGACTGATATTATTACTCCCCTGGTGGATATCCACGTGTGCCTCTTATCTTTTAGAAATCCAGTGTAAAAATAAAATCCCATGTTACTCTCCATTTTTCTCACTCTTCACTTTTTAATTTTGAATATTGAAGACTGTTCAGCAGTCAAATCTGCACTCACTTCACTGTGGATTATCTTTTTTTAATTTCCTGGTTGGCATGTTGCAAGTATTTCAAGTGTGTTTTTCCTTCCCACGTTAATTAAAAACAAAGCTTATTAAAAAGTGCTGTGTTTTTTGCCTAACTTTTAGTACAATTATAATAAGTACCACCAGATGGCGTTCGAACATTGCAGTAAACTATATTCTGTAGGCAAAGTACTAATAGGATCAGTAGACAGAGTAGACATGTCTTAGTTTGAGGATTATCGTAGATATAAGCAAAGATTGCACTTTATTAATGTGCATGACATGGCTAAAGTGAAGTTGCCAATAAAGAACTATGGTTTATTTTGGGTATAAGGTTTTAAACAGAGAATATGGGTGTTTGAGTAATCCCTCAATCGTCCAGGTAGGATCTATAACAAAGGAGAATACAATTCTGTCAACTGGACATAGAGAACTGAAGACGCAGCTTGGATGAGAAACGTCGATTAAAAACTTATGTCCATCTGACAGAATTGAATTTCTCCTTTGCTAAAGAATAAGGAGACGAGAGATCAGAGACAACTTTAAGTGACTGAGGTAAAAGCATGTTGTAGTAGATGCACTTATTATCTCCATGCATATCATGAATAGGACCATACACTGTATGTGTGTAGTCTATCCATAGGACATACGCCAAAGTCCCCAGTCTATGGTCTGTGATGGTCTCCCATGTCTCCCATTAGTGAGCGTCAGAATCAGGAAGCGCCTGTCAACCCGTACAAAGATGTGTTACGAGACAGACTGACCACTCAACCGTAGAAACGTCCCAGTATATTTTCGATTTTTAAATACACATATTTATATTACCTTCATGTCTATTAGGTTATGAAACTGTTCGACTGATTAATTAGATGAGTAAAGGTCACAATAATTAAAAAAAAAAACCTTGCGCTTCTTATTGTGGGCCGGTCCGTCCTACATGCATAGAGGATCCCTGAGTGTGGTTGTAGTAACCATAGAGTACTATGGTCTATGGCATAGACCGTATGTCCCACTGCGAAGAGAAGCTTCTTTTCTGCTGTGGCGGCTATGACCGAGCTACCGGACAACACTTGTGTTTTCGGGACTGACCACCGCCTCCGTGATTGCTCTTAGTGTCTTTGGTGCTCGTGGAGAAAGCATAGCCCATTGTATGGTCGCATTCCTACGTGTTTTTCTCCGTAGACGCTGGCCTGTGGGGCTAGCAGGCTACAGGGCAGTGACAGAGAGGGGCCAGCTGGTTGGACAGAGGCACAGTAACGCTAGCAAACAAGCTAATTAGCCTGGATTAGTGTGAATCAAAGACAGCGCAAGTTTGCGCTCCTTCTTCTGCGCCAAAATGAAAATAATGGTGGATTTTGAGGAGTGCCTGAAGGACTCGCCGCGGTTCAGGTGAGTAATCCCAGACGGACTTTGTCCCGTTTTCGACACGTATTTATTGCCAAGAAAAGTATTCAGCTAGGCTGCGGGGGAGTTCCTGCTTGGTTGTCTTCTATTTTGGGACAGAGAAAACTGGGGCCACTCGGAGAGGACTCTACCCTGAAAGAATGAGACAAACGCATTGAGTAAAATAGCCACTCATTCAGATAATTGTCGTTACTGTGTACTAATAACAACAATAATACAAAACAGCTAGCAAATAGGGGAAAAAAGCAATCAGAGATTATGGTCCTAACAGGCTTTGGCAAAAAGGAAAAAACAAACAAAAAACACTTCAAATTGAAACCCAAGACAAGTCAATAGGTGTTCTGTGGATTGCCGTTCATATAAGAATATAGACATTATAATGTCAAGTTCTATGATCTGTCAGCCTGTAAAGCTTTTTATGTGACCTAAGATCATGTGATTTAAGACCATTTTCTTTCAAGAGCGTCATTTGCAACATCATCTCTTATTTTTATTCTTGGACCTTAAGGGTGTTTCAAGTAGGTGTTTGTTTTCAACTTCCTCCTCTTGCTTCTCCTTTTCCGAAGATTTGAGAAAGCACCTCCCTCTTTCCCAGTGCAGCTGGTCCCAGAGCTTCAGTAACATCCTCTTCTACAAAATCAGGACAGATGTTAGAAAGTTAATCACAGACAGAGGAATTGGAGAATTAATTATATTCAGTGCAGTCCAGCTCATGATCACACACTATTCATGGTTTTCTGCTTCCTGTTATAGGCAAGATTTTGAGGACTTTTCGCCATTCAAAAATTGCAATATTTTGTTGCTTTGGCAATAGTCCTAACTTCCTAAAGGAATCTGAAAGAGAGGGCGTAGCTGTTTTTATTAATGTGAGCATTTTTAGCATTATTCACAAGTCTTTCTCAAATTCTCTACATGACCTGTATCTAGTCCCTGCTTCACTGGAGAGTTGTTTTGGTGACCACCGTTTTGTAATGTGTAGATCATGTGAGAGCTCTAGGCTGTAAAGTGCAATTGGGTTGAAATGGATTTTAAAGCTGCACAATCAGACCCATTTTGTTTTTTAGTAATCATATCCCAAATTTAAGGTGATGCTAAGGTGAACGCATCAGAGACTGCTGCACTTGTGCACTTGTCATGATTAGGGACTTCTAAGTCCCTAATAATTTTATTGTTTTTTTGTATGTGTTGTAACTATGCGTTAAGCTGCTGCCTATTGGCCTGGACTTCCTTGAAAAATTTGTTATTTTTCCCTGGTTAAATAATGGTTGAATAAAATAAAATGAATGCATTTAAAAGTGTTAGTTTGATTATATGCAAACTGTCCATTCATGTGTCTTGTGAAAATGTTCCCACTCAGCATTTGAACCATTACAGTAGTTTTCTGTAGGTCATGCTGGGTCGCATAGATCATTGATATTTGCAGCACTGACTTTACACCATCTATGCGTTATGTTTGGCTGAGGAAAATAACAAGAGAGAATGAGAATGCATTTAAAAACAGAATATGTGTAATAGTACAGAGCTCGGCGTCTGGACATCTGGTTCCACTTTGGTGTTTTGCTTTTAACTTTGTGCCAGAGAATATGGAGCCCCCAAATGTGGAGAGGGTTGTTTTCAAGTGGTAGTTTGGCACACCCCACTTTTTTCCCTCTCATCCTCATTTGCGTTAGTAGTCTGTCTTTAGTCTTTAGTAAAGCTGAGACATGCATGCTGGACAAATATGTATTTTTGGCAGTCACCCTTTTCCACTTGAGAATAGGAATTAGGCTCTAGAGCTTTTCTGGCTTTTTGTCATCTGTAGAGACAATTCTCGTCACCACATACATAAGCTGAGCGTGTCCTGTGTAAACCACCATATGCTCTATTATTACTGTGTTGTTACTTGGTAAAGATCACAAAGGTTTAGTTGTAATTATGGGTGTTGAAAGTTCAGGACAAATTCTTTTGTGTTCTAGGCCGAAGATTAGATCTGGTGCTAAGTGGTTGAGACGTCTGATCACAGCGGGATGAATGCAGTGTGTCGTTGTAGATTTATGCAATTCACCAAATATTTTCTCTGCTTTCTAATATCTGTAACTGCGTCACTGACTGTTTGTTTGGACAGTGTTCTCCATGGACACTGGGCTAGTCTTTAGTTCTACCTAATCATCAAAGACTTTCTACTAAGTTTTCTTATTACAGTTGATTTTGTTTTTCCTTACTTCCTGTTGACTCAAGGATGCAAGGAATATTTACAATGGCCATCCAATACAGCGACAGGCCAGATATTGTAATGGAAAGTAATGAGCTGATTTGAGAATCATGGCTGCTCTGTACTTGAACAATGACAGGATCTACGTCACCGCACCCAGCCTCACTTTTCCACAATAACAGACAGAGTTTTCTTCAACATAGTGGACTGCAGAAATGACCATGCCTCCACAAGCAAGAGCACTTAGACTGTCAGAAAAATATTCATGTACAAATCTTCTCTGCCATATTTAGGGTTTTGTTTAGGAAAGATACTGAGAGAGAGACTTGTGTCAAAACTATTTTATAATGTACACAGCATATGACACATTCCAAAACAATAATCTGTGGCCATGAATTAGACATGTGCGATCTTTATTTAGTGAGAGGCCTGCCACAATAAATACAATAGTGACTCATTGTATTGGAACAGTCTATTTGGGGACTTATTGTGTGTACATTTTCTTTGTAAAAGTGGGGAGATTTTAGGTATTTTTTGTTAGATAAGATCTGAGCTGTTCAATATCTAACATCTATGGCTAATTATTGGTTTATTCTGCTGTTTATTTGTTGCAGCTCATGCCTTTAAAATAATACTGTTTTTTTTTTTAAACAGTTTACTGGGATTATCTTGCATTGTTGTTATTGTGTCAGTGGTACAATGTAGGTTAAATATTATCATTTATCACAGTATATCTCTGTAGCAATATATCATCCTCCATAATCTGTTGTCGTGACAGGCCTAGTGAGATTAGTTAGTGTTCAGAGTTGGTTATTCATAGTGTAGTCTTTTGGGTGATGGTGCTTCCCCTGCACTGGACCCTATTGTATCAGATGAACCTGTCTAACTGCCTGTGTGCTGCAGCAGAGACCAGCCCACTGGAGTTGTGCCAAACCTCACAGCGCTTTGGACAGCCCTTTTGTTTTGAACTGTACTCAGTCAATCACTTCTGTGCACTAAATGTAGGGCCATCTGTTTTTAGAGAAACTATAGCTCTTTAAACAGCAGGGGATAGTGACATGTTGGTGCTTAGCTGGCGGTGTAAAACTTGTTGTCTGCCACTACTAAAATAACACAAGTTTAATGTGAATGTTTTCTCAAAGAAACTACGACAGCATGAACGGACATTTTTCAAGGGACACCGGGGCAACCATTGAAGTCTTCTGCTGTTGCCCACCACAGACTCTTAAAAAGACATTATCCTGTCTAATGAAAGCTGCTCAGTCAGAAGGATTGCTCTGCATACAAACTACACAACACAGGTTTAGGCTTTCGCATCAATGAAGTGCC